AATAATTAAACGCTTTTGTGGAGAAATTACGATCGTTGTTCGAATGATATATTATTATTTAAATCATAATATATCAAGGATGAAGGCGATTTGACCAGCCTTGCCTAAAGTTTTCTGATAAATAAATCTATATATAGAATATACATATTATAATTATACATATAATATATATAATTATATATATATAATATATACATTTATACATATATATATGTATACGTAAAGGTTTACAGGTATGTGTAGAAAGAACGCCACGGGCGTACATTTTTTCTTTTCTTTTTTTCTTTTTTTTTTTTTTCTTTTTCTTTTTCTTTGGTGTAATTAAGTCTTGTGTATATAGCGTATTGTCTCTCTCTCCCTCTCCCGTTCTTTCTCTCTCACACACACGCACTCTTTCATTTAAACTCTTCATCTATATATATATATGTATATCACACGTTGTGTACATCGCTTGTATCTTTAAAAAATGTTCCATACAATTACACGATATTCGCAATTTGACGATCGTCCTGCATATACTTTATAAAGGACAAGAAGGATCCCAAATTGAATTTTTCTGGATAATCCTTCTGCAGGAGGAACATCGATGATAACAGCTCGTTAACAGCTATATCTACATAGTTTCTTTATAATTTATATTTGTTAATTTATATTTGTAACTGTGATGTGTGATAATGTACGTATATGTCGAATATTCAATGTATTATGAAATATACTTGTTAGGTACATGATAATATTCGTTTCAGACTTAACACTTTGAATTTTTTTCTCGGTTTTTTTTTTATTTTTTTTTAATTTTTTTTTTTTTTTTTTCTTATGCGTACGTATGTCGAACATCACGATAGTATCTTTCACTTTTTCTTTTCTAATTCTTTCTTTTTTCTTTTTTCTATTTTTTTAAATTCTTTTACACACAATATGTATATAATTTTAGGCGCGCAAATGTGTATGTTATAAGTGTTCGTGTTCGCGAGTTTTGAGAAAAAGGATTTAGTTGAATTTAATAACGGACGATCTCATAATGTTTCACTTTTGTTTTGCAATTTCTTATATTCGATATATGCTAGTATAAATAAATTTTATCGATGATTATTTTTGTTCGTGTTACTATGATGAAGGGAATTCACTTTGAAACTTCTAAAATAGATAAAACATAAAAATTTTGTTTATATTTATTAAATTGAAAGTTATTTTTTGATATTAGACTAATTATTTTTTTTTCTAATTTTTGAAGTTAAAAAAGTTATAAAATTAAAGTTATTTATATTTCAAAATTTGTTCTTCGATAATTCATGTACGCTCACATCAAAAGGTGAAAAAAAAACTTTTTCATTCATAAACTAAAATATATTAACTACGATAAATTAACGAAAAAAAATTCTCTTATTTTTTAGACACTTCTGATGTATTTCCTTAATGTGCGTCATAATGGAGAATGCGTGACCGTCCATTTAATAAACTCAATTAAAGTCTTTCCTCTGTTATATGGACGAAAATAACTTTCTTTCACGTTCAAAAACAAAGAAAAACAAAAAGGAATAAAAAAAATGATATCAATTCACTTGTTTAAAAACTTGTTCCACTCATAACAGTGTTTCTTCGGAGTATACACGGCGCGAATATTCTTCATTTCGTATCCACAAAAATGACGATGATTCCTTGAAACGCATAGCCATAGAAACTGCGTTTACAGTTGCGGAACGTCGCAATGATTTAGTCGAATGCATTGTAACATCGACCATCGGGGAGTTCTGTCACTCCCCTTTGTACAAATCTCAGCAGAAGCATTCCTCTTCCCTTGGTAGCTCATGACCCAGAAGATCCTTCGTGTGAAGAACAGAGAGACGATAGTTCCATCATACATAGAACTGCGATTAAACGAATTTCAGGGATAAGCGTCGCTGGATTCTTTGGAAATAAAAAGACACGACATCGAGTATCACATCGAGTGTGGTATGCTAATCCTGTGCACTCGAATCACTTCACTGAGATTAATCACAGATTAATTTAAAGAGGGAATAGAAGATCCTTGTAATAATAATATTTTGCAGAGTGGAAAATGAAGGTAAGGGAGTGCAAAGGGTTATATGTGTTTTACGTGTTAGATGACGATGATTGGAAAAAATAATAGATATTTCCTAAAGAGTAAAAGTATTAGGATGGATATTGTGATCGTATTTATGATGTTTATGATAATTTGACAGAAGTACAGTTATATAACAATGTAATTGTTTCTTAATCAAAATTAATTTGTTTTTAAATTATAATATAATAATTTTTTATATAATATATATTTACATAATTACTACATACATAATTCTCTTCTGTCAATTAATCATAATCTTACAATTTTCTCTCTTGCTTCACATAAACATTTCATAAAAATATTTAAATTACCTTCTTGATCTCCATGCTGCCAGGAGTACTTGAACGCTGTGGTGGTGGCGAGAATGCTATTTTTTCGTATGGTATCGTGCCACGGCACAGAGCGCTAGGATCCAAACTGAGCGCAGCCTTTAAGGCGTTTTTCTTTAACATTCCATTAACATTAGTGGCGCTCGTATTTAGGCCAGTGTGACTAGGGGATCGACTACGTGTGTTCGGTGACGAATTGATCGTATCAGGCGGTGTGTCCGAGGAAGCGACGATCAAAGAATCAGAATTGGTCTCGGTAGTAGTTATGCTTTCATTGCCATTCCTTCTGTCTACATCCGTAATATCAACTGTGCTATTTCGACGATTCTCGATATTTGATTCACGATTGTTACCATTATCCGTGTTCCTTAACCTATTTTCGATGTCCGTCGAAGTTCGATGTACGCTTTTCTCCTCGCAATTTAAGTTGTCGGCCTTATGTTTGTTCTGCAAAGTCGTTGAAATTGTTATAATCATTATGGGAATATCAATTTGTTATCAAACTGTTATTAAACTGAATTTATGCATTTATATGAAATTGAAATATAGAAAAATATATATGGAAAAGTATATGAAATATCTAAAATAAAGTAAGCATTAGAATATTCAATTCCTTAATATTCAAATTTTTTTCATTAAATTTTCATTTAAACATTATTTTATAATGAATTACAAATAATATAATAAAAATAGATGTGATATACATATATATTTTATAAATTACATATAAGATGTTAATATATTCGTAGAACATCTTTGAAAAGTTAAGGTTAGGAGAAATACAAAAATTAATATACAAAAATATTCATTAAGATTTATTTAATAATTTATAAGCAATTTAAATTTTAAATTAAATGAAGTAATATAAAGATTAGAGATAAGGAAATGATGAAGATTCTCTGTCTCTTATTTTAGTTTTTAAAATTAACTCACTAAAAATGTACCACGAATATATATTAACCATCTGTATTTTGATACATATTCTAATTTAAGAAAAATAAGCAAACAAGTGACAAATGTATTATATAACTATGATCTTAAATATGTAATATTACCAATATGAGCACGAGATATTAAAGAGTAAAGAAGATTTCTTTAGATTTAAAAAAAATAATAAAAAATATAAATTCGCATAAAAATCC